GGAACCTCTTCGGGGCCTCACAGACATGTTCACGTGTTTCTGGGAGCCTCATGGCGGTCTCCTGGGCGCCCTCTGGGAGCCTTTGTTGGGGGGTCTCCTCGAGCACGAGCCGGCGCGTCCCCAAGCCGCTTCCGATTCTTTGTGCTGATTTCTGCAAACACACTCTTCAAGGCCCACGGCCCAGAACTCCGGGCGCTCTCGTGCCCTCCTGGGCGGCTCTAGGGGGCGGGGCCCCCGCGCGGGTTCTCGAGGGGCCAGGGGCGCGCTGTTTGGGATGGGTCTGGGGTCTAGGGGTTAGGCGTATGTCGGGCCTGTCCCCCTACAGGGGGATTTTCGACGAAAAATAAAACATATCCCAAACATGATTTTCTAAAAAAATAATGCTCCAACAGTAGTCTGGGGACTCTTTTGGGGGGTAGTCTTGTTTTTTTACCTTTTTGGAGCACTCTGGGTGTATTTTTAATTTTTCGTCGAAAATCCCCCTGGAGGGGGACAGGCCCGACCTAAGGCTAGGGCCTTGGATCCCTCTCGGGGGCGCCCCCTTGGGCCGCTTGGAGGCCCCCGGGGTGGAGGGCGGCCCGAGAGGCCAACCTTGCCAGCAGCGGCCGCCAAGGCAGCCCACGATGGCTCCAAGAGGGCCTCCAGGACGGCCCAAGAGTAGGGAGCCAGATGCGAAGCCTACCCCTACGGTTTCTGAGGGGGAGGGTGGGGTCCACATCAGAAATCGTGGGGGGTAGGGGTAGGGTTCGCATGTGGCCCCCTAAAGAGGCCACCAAGAGGTCTCCGAGACGGCCCAGGAGACCTCCAAGAGGGCCTCCAGGAGGGCCCGAAGAGGCCCAAATCGCTGATCGTCCTTACGTTCTGAAGGATCTTGGCATTTGCTTCGGTCTTCCGACGGCCCGAGACGGCCCAAGAGCCCCCAAAGATCGCCCCAAGATCGCCCAAGAGGCCCCAGAACAGCCGAAGAGGAAAACGGCCCAAGAGGCCTCCAAGACGCCCAAGATGGACTCCAAGACGGCCGTGGAGCATTCCAAGAGGGCCCCAAGTCGGCCCAGAGAGGCCCCCAAGACGGCTTCCGACGGCGTCAGACTGGCCAGGGAGCCACCAAGATGGCCCATGATTGCTCCAAGACGGCCTAACAGGCCCCCGCGAGGTCCCCAATCCAGGAAGGCTGGAAGATGCCAAAATATTTGATTGTCTGTAGGTGTTGGAGGATCTTGGCATTTGCTTCTGCTCGGCCTTCCGACGGCTCGAGATGGCCCAAGAGCCCCCCAAGAGCGCCCCAAGAACGCCCAAGAGGCCTCCAAGATGGCCCCAGAACGGCCCAAGAGGCCCACAAGAGGGCCCCAAGGCGACCCAAGAGGCATCGAAAACGCCAAAGATGGCCTCCAAGACGGCCCTGTAGCACCCCACGAAGGCCCCAAACCAGCCCAGATGCCCCCAAGACGGCTTCCAACGGCGTTAGAGTGGCCAGAAATACCATAACACGGCCAAAGGGGCCCCGAGAAGCCCCCTGTAACCGTAGGCCTCGAAGAGGCCCAAATGGGCCCCCAAGATGGCTCTAAGAGGCTCCCAGGAAGCTCCCAGGAGGCACCAAAAGTGCCCACAGAGGCTCCCAAGATGCCCCCTCCTCCTCCTCCTCCTCCTCCTCCTCCTCCTCCTCCTCCTCCTCCTCCTCATGATCGTCCTCGCCATCCTCCCCCAAGTGTCCCCCGAACGGTTTCCACAACGGCTGGGGGAACACATGGTCAGATAGCTTGGCAGAGTTCTTGCCACAACGCTCGGCCACATGGGCGATTCCAAAAGGCAGAGGTCGGCGGTGATTCGCCGTAGGCGTCTTCGATATGAATGCACGTATGTCAATTCATGTTGGCCAGCATGGAACCCGCACAGTGTGTTCCTAGCTGCGCATGTTGTACAACACATGGTATGCGATCGGTATTGCGCAACCGACGGTGTGCAATAAAAGTGGTGCAAAATGCGTTGTGCAACATGTGTGGAGAGGTATGTGGTGCGATCTCTCTGATGTAATATCTGGTGTGCCCTAAACGTTGTGCACTCTACATGGTGCGACCTATGTGGTGCCATTTGTGTGAAACAATTAACGTGTCGAAGCAACCAACGTGCTGGAAACATATTATGCGATAGCTGATGTGCAATGTATGTTGTGTGGGGTATCATGGCGACGCCGACAATGGTAGACGCGATTATGAAAGCAGCGATGGTGACGAAGGTGGCGATGACGACGGCAAGGCCCATGACGGCGCCGATGCTGATCACACCGACGACGATGACGGCGTCTTCGCGTCGGCGACAAAGGTTTTGGAAGGAGTTCGGCATGGGCGCGCGGCCGACACGCGAGAGTAGCCGCATGGTATTATTTGTCACGGATCGCGCCCCCCCCCCCGCACGCGCGCAAGGGCGGTCGAATGATTTCGGCATGCGGCGCGAGAGGCCCGTTTGGCAACATTCCATGAACATGTTGGGAACATACAATGGTTGCCTGCTCTCGCAAGAGCGTCATCGCAGGTGTTATGCTTGAAACCTGTTGTTGCGAAACCATGTTTTTTGTTGAAAACCATTTTTGGGACACTCGATTCTGAGATCCTTACGAAACCGAGAGATGTTTGAAAGATGTCGGCATGCGCGCGCGACGACGCGCGCATGTGCACTTCGTCCAATTGTTTGCAAGGGGTTCTTGAAAACTGATGATATTTGATAAACGAATGCGCGCGCACGTACCCCTGGGATGGTAATATTTCATATTCCGGATGAACGAGTGGGCAGAATCGTATGTACATTGCAATACAAAAAAAGATACTCCAGGGGGAAGTCGAATCACATCTCTTTTAAGACATGAAAATATATGTTGTGCAAGATGCGTGGTTCAACCTGTGCTGTGTGATATGTGTGGTACATTAGATGGTGTACAATCCATGTTGGACATCATATACGTATCTACATTTGTAAAAGTGTATGTGCAAATACGTGTGCCGTTGTGCTATACATGGTTTGCCATCGGTGATGTGTATCCTATGTGGTGCTACGTAGTACGTACAATATAAATAATGCAGTATATATGTTGTGCAATCGATGTGGTGTAACATATATATATATATATATATATATATATATGTGCAACCGATGTGATACAATACATGTGGTTGTGCAGTCTACGTGGTGCAAAATATGTGTTGTGTAGTATACGTGGAGCCATCTATGATGCAAGCGATCGAAATGCACACCGCAAGGATGTTTTTTCGTTTTTCGCGCCATCTCGTCGGCGAATGTGCACTCTGCGCCGGCATCCAGCCAGCGCCCACGTCGGCCCCGTCACGCGCAAACATCACCCTGCGCGCACAAGCGTCGCAGTGTGACACCTTGGGTCCTGAGATATGCAGTCGACCACGTTGTCGGCCGTCGCTCAGATGACCACGCAACACCAGTCATTGCAGGAACCGCCTGCGTTGACTAAACATTTCGAGATGCGGTGCGCAGGACGTGACGCGTGACTGAGGTGCCTCATGCAGGAGCTCCGCGCGACAATCACGCGCCGTAGCTCCGCTCAAAGAGGCTGACAAAATGAAAAGGCAGACTGAAAGGTCACGGCGACGAGCATTGCGAAATGCACGGTGCCTCTGGCCAGAGGCCGACTCAGAAGGCGCGGGGTGCATCGGAGCAGTGCGAGTCAAGACACGGCAACTCAAAATCGGCCCCGGGACTTCAGTCGGGCCTGTCCCCCTACAGGCCGATTTTGGACGAAAAAAAATCAAAACATACACTACAAATGCTCAAAAATGGTCAAACAATTGTCCCCAGACTATTTTTTGACTATTTTTGAATGTTCCCCCTGTAGAGGGACAGGCCCCACTTGACCCTGGACTCGACAGACCCCTCCCAGAGTCCAGACGCACCGGTCTTCTGGGCTGCGTCCAGCCGTGGCGACGAGGGAGCCCCCCGAAGGCCAACTGCCGTTGTGCCACCGCGCCCCCCCACAAGGAGGAGGAGGAGGAGGACGACGAGGAGGAGGAGGAGGAGGACGACGACGAGGAGGAGGAGGAAGACGAGGAGGAGGAGGAGGAGGAGGAGGGGCAGGAGGGAGAGAGGAGGAGGAGGAGGAGGCGGAGAAGGCGGAGAAGGCGGAGGCGGAGGAGGAGGCGGAGGAGGAGGAGGAGGGGGAGGCGGAGGAGGAGGCGGAGGAGGAGGAGGAGGCGGATCAGAAGGAGGAGGAGGAGGAGGAGGAAGAGGAGGCGTCGCCAGGGGGGGTCCACCGGACCGCCGCCCCAAAGGCCCGCTGGCCCGCGCGAGGGGCGGCGGGGCGGGTCAGTCCCAGGTCGCCTCGGCCAGCCTGCCGACCTGGAAGTCGGCGACCACGCCCTCGAGGCGGCGCCCCGCCGAGCGGTCCCCGAGCTCCTCCCCTGCGAGGCCCGTGGGCTCCTGCGCGGGGCACACGCACATCAGGCCTCTCCCCTCGAGCCCTCCGAGGAGGGCGGCGGCCGCCTCGTTGTCGTTCGTGGGCCCGCCCAGCGTGCGCTTCGCCCTGATCTTCTCCCAGCGGGTCTTCCAGGACTTCTTCGTCTTGGGGCCCCCCTTGTCGTCCAGCCCGTCCCTGTGGCGCTGGCACTCTGCCGTCACTTCCTCCAGGGACTCGGGGTGAGGATCGAACCCCAAGAGCCCGCCGATGTCCGCACGTCCGAGCGCTCCCAACTTCCGCACTGCCACGTTGAGGTGCTCCTGCTCTGGCAGTTCCTGGCGGACGACGATCATCGCTGCCTCGTTGAACTTCTTCGAGACCATCTGGACCTGGACAACCAACTGTCCAGCCACGTTCAGGGCTCCAGCACTGTCCTTGCTGCTGTGCCACAGCGTCTTCGACAGGGTCACCGTGAAGTGCTTCCGCTTCGGGATCCCAGACAAGACGTGGGCCCCGTCCGCCCAGTCCGTGATGTTCGTCCACGGCACCTCGCCGGGGCCCGCGCTGTGGTTCAGCACGCGCAGGCTCAGGAACCTGTCGGCCTCGCCCCTGGAGCGCGACCTGAGGTACGAGCGCATCTGCACCGACGCGGCCCCCAACCACGCGCCGCCGAGCTCCACCTCTATAGGTCGGGCATGTCCCCCTACAGGCGGATTGTCGACGAGGGGTTAAAGGAAAATACTCCAAAAATATCCCAACACTATCAAAAAGCACCTCGCATCTTCCTCCTCCTCCTCCTCCTCCTCCTCCTCCTCCTCGCGTATTCCTCCTCTTCCTCCTCCTCCTCCTCGTGCTTGAATACCTCCGGCTGCCACCTTCATCGTGGGTACCGTCTTCCAGGGTCGGCGGCACCGGCCGTAAGGCCTCCTCGATACTCCCAAAAATACCCCAACACTATCAAAAAGCACTAGAGAAATCGTCCCCAGGCTATTTTTGTTACTGTTTTAGAATACTCCTCCTGTCGAGGGACCGTCCTTGTGGCCCTCCCTCCTGGTCACGGCCTCACTCCTCCTCCTCCTCCTCCTCCGCTCCCCTCTCCTCCTCCTCCTCCTCCTCCTCCTCCTCCTCCTCCTCCTCCTCCTCCTCCTCCTTTCCTCCCTCCTCCTCTCCTCCTCCTCCCTCCTCCTCCTCCTCCTCCTCCTCCTCCTGTCGAGAAAACTTGAACTCCGCCTCCGTGATGTACGTGGTGCACGGCCTCCCGTGCTCGGGGCGGACGGTGGCCCGCAGCGCGAGCTCCGCCGGCGCGCCCGCGGCCTGCGGGATCCTCGCGGGGGCGGGCGAGCAGAGGGCGGGCGGCCCAAACCAGAGGACGAGCAGAGGGGGAGGAGGGTGAGGAGGGGGAGGAGGAGGAGGAGGAGGAGGAGGAGGAGGAGGAGGAGGAGGAGGAGGAGAAGAGGAGGAGGAGGAGGAGGAGAGGAGGAGCAGGACGAGAAGGAGGGGAGGACGAGGAGGAGGTCGAGCGTGCCCAAAGGTGAAGGAGGAGGAGGAGGAGGAGGAGGAGGAGGGAGGAGGAGGAGGAGGAGGAGGAGGAGGAGAGGAGGAGGAGGAGGAGGAGGAGGAGGAGGAGGAGGAGCAGCAAGACGAGAAGGAGGGGGAGGAGGAGGAGGAGGAGGAGGAGGAGGAGGAGGAGGAGGAGAGGAGGAGGAGGAGGAGGAGGAGGAGGAGGAGGAAGAGGGGAGGATGAGGAGGAAACGAGGAGGAGGAGGAGGAGGAGGAGGAGGAGGAGGAGGAGGAGGAGGAGGGGGTCGGGGGAGGGGAAGGTCGCGACGGGGTAAGATCCCAACGGGGCGGCTCAGATCCCAGCACACGGGGTCAAATCCCAGCGGGTCAGAAAACCGAAGTGATTCAGATCCCAACGGGCGGAACCAACTCCGTCTCACGTGGTTCGTCCAATGGAAACCAAATGGTGTACGTTCAAGGGCCCGCTCTGTTTTCATCGCGCGCCGTTGGGATCTCTACCGCTCCACTGCCCTACGACATGGGCATTCTATGGACTCCAAAAAACGGCCCCGTATACGATGTAGGCCCAAGGCTTTCCAAGATGGCCTGCGCATTGCTCAAAAGGCCCCCAAGAGGCCTTCTGGGAGGGCCCGAGTGTAAGCCACACTCATAATTACATGTTCCTGTGGGTTTTGGGCGGTTTTCGCGTTTTGCCGTTTCGGGCTCCCGACGGCGAATCCCCAAGAATCCTTCGGAATCCTTCAGCAATCATCTGGAATCCATGAACCCTTGAACCCTTGAAAAATGATCAACCAATCGTTCAGGAATCCTCAGGAAGCATCAGACATCGTCCAATAAACTCAGGAATCCTACGGGATCCTCCGGAATCCTAAGACATCCGCAGGGATTCATGGGAATCTTCAAGAATCAGCAGGAGCCCGATAGGAAAATAATTCAGAGGAAACTTAAGGAATCATCCGCCATCCCAAAAATCCGGAGGGGTCCTCCAGAAACTAAAAGAATCAAGCAAGTCAATAATTATTCCGACGGTAGGACCCCGCATGAGAATCCTCTCGGCTAATCTGGAAATGCCCCTCGTCGTCGTCCGCGTAATCGGTGAAGCGTCATTACTGTCTCCTCTGAATCGTTCTCCTCTCGCCCTGGCCTAGGACCTCCCTCCTCTTCCCGCTCACTACGTTGCCCCCTTTTCGCCCTCCTGCTTCTTGTTGTCCGGCAAAACCCGAGTTTGCTTCTCGCGAGGTAAACTGACGAAACTGAACTGAACAGAGGGGTCGCACCCGTTACGCGACGGTTTTACTATCTGCCGCCACGGGCGCAACCGATGGCGAAACTGATACCAAACGGTTTCATTTTCGGCCGCCGAAGGGCGCAACCTATGGCGCAACCGATAGGAAACGGTTATATTCTCGGCCGCCGACGGCGCAACCTATGGCGCAACCTGTAGAAGACGGTAGTGTTTTCGGCCGCCGGGGGCGCAACCTATGGTGCAACCTATGGGAAACGGTTCTATTCTCGACCGCCGAATGCGCACCCTATGGCGCAACCGATAGGAGACGGTTCCAATTCCCGGCCGCCGAGTGCGCAACCCATGGCGCAGCCGATCGCAGACGGTTTGATTATTCCGGGCCGCCGAGGTTCCAAAAAATAGAAGATGAGCAGGAGGAGGGAGAGGAAAAACGAGGACGAGGTCCTAGACGAGGACTACGTGGAGAAGCTGGGGCAGGAGGAAGACGAGGAAGACGAGGAGGATGAGGACGAGGAGGAGGACGACGACGATCAAGATGGGGAGGAGGACGGGGAGGAATACGAGTAGTACGAGGACGAAACATGGGCATTCGAATGCGTGCGGGGCTACGCCCGATTTATGCTCGCCGTTTGGGCTGGCGGCGGGGCCCAAGCGGCGAGCTGTCTTGTGATTTTTCGGCCCCCCAGTTCCTCCCCTGTCTATTGCAAGAGCGCGCGTGTCGTTTTTCCTCGGCGCCGTCGCCGCCACGACCAGCACGGGCGCATTCCCGAATGGCCACGTCGCGCAGCCGTTGGGGCACTCCTGTGGGCCAGGCCGCCGGGACAACCCTACGAGCTGCTTGGGCGCGGAAGCAAGCTGTTGGGACACCCCCGCAGGCACCGAGCTAGTCGCGGCCGCGCCCAGGCGGGAGGCAGCACGAAATCCAGCTCTGCCGCGAGCTGCTCCGCCTCTGCCCTGGAGTTTTCCGTTCTCAGGCCGAACTCCCTAAGTGCTTTCTGCAGGGATGCCAGCGGCACGCTCTCCAGGAACTCCCGCGGAGGCGGTCGCAGAATCATAACGTTCCGCCTGCGCGTGGCGCGGGTGATCATGATGCAGAGATGGCCACCACTGGTCGTCCGACATGCCCGTGCGGCCAGTGTCCTCGTCCTTCGCGCACTTGTCGGAACGTCGTCCAACATGAAGATGAGGCTCCCATAGAAACGTGGCTCCCGCCTGAGACATCCTCGCAATTCACTCACAGACGAGGCTCCCGCCGAAGACTTCCTCGAGATTCGCGCCTGGAGAGCCCCAAAGTGAGGAACATTGAAGGTTTCCGATACCCGCCCGGGCTAAAACATTACATGCGGGACCCATGGGGAACGGGTTCCTTCCTCGAAATCTACTCACAGACGGTGCTCCCGCCTGAAAGTTCTTCCAGATTCAGGCCTGCAGATCCATAATCAGTACGACATTTACAAGTTCCCGATGACCCGCTTGGATTGAAAACGTGATACGCGGGACCAATTGGGAGGGGACTCCCGCCTGAGACTTCCTCCAAATGCACTCACAGACAAGGCTCCCGACTGAGACTTCCTTGATCTCCAGGCTTGCAGAGCCCAACGGTGACGACAGATCGACAGATACAACTTTCCGATGGCCCGCTATGATTAAAACCTGACAAAAAGCAGGGGGTCCCGCCTAAGACTTCCTCGCCGTTAACTCACAAACGAAGTTCCCGCTTGACACTTCTTACATGTTCAAGCCGCGGGAGCCCAAAAGTGATGACACTTACGAACTTCCGATGGCCCGTTCGGAATAAAAAAGCCGCGAAGCGCAGGACAGTGGGCTCCGACCTGAGAGTCCCTCGCAATTCACTCACAGAAGAAGCTTCCGCCTGATACTTCCTCAAGGGTGGGTGTGAGTGAGTCAGTGGGTGATCGAATGAGTGAGTGAGTGAGTGAGGATGATGATGGTGATATTGATGATGTGTGTGAATGAATGGGTGGGTAGGTGGGTGAGTGAAAGGGTGAACTCCAGAGTGAATGATGGTGGTGAATGCGTGACTGCGTGAGTGAGGGAGAATGCGACGGGAGAAACGGGGAGGGGGTGTGAGGATGTGAGGACATCCTGCGCGGAGATGTGCAGAGAAAGCAAAGACCCCACTCAGGATATGGGGACAAGCGATCAGCAATCCTCACGAATCCTCAGAGAACCTTCGGGAATCCCTGAGGGTTCTTCACGGACCCTGAAAACCCGTTCAGGAATCCTTTAACTAATTTCAAAAAAAAACTCAGGAACCTCTCAAGCAACCCAACAGGGATCTTTCAGAAAACGTCGGGGATGCTTTAGGAAGCCGCACGAATCCGCATGAATGGCCCAAAAATCCCTGGGCATCCCAAGGGACTCCCATCCTCGGGAATCCTTCAAGGATCCACAAAAATCCAACAGAAATCCTACAATAAATCTGGGGAATACCATCGGAATCTTCAGGTAATCCTAAAGGAATCCTCCGCTCAGAATCCTGAGAAAATTATCCGGGCGAAGGACCCAACCATATGCAGTTGTGAGTATCGCAATTGGGAGTATCTTCTTCGGTGGCGCTCCCTATGGGGCCACGAACCGCATGAGGGGTGTGCCGAAATGTGGCGGGGTACACAACGCAAAGGATTACGATTGATCTGATTACGAGAGAAAGAACGCGGGTGAGTCAGAGCGCGAGGGAATCTGAGTATGAATGGGTCTGCGCGCGAGTGAATATATTTGCATGAATGCGATCATGGAACCGCCTAGTGTAAGTGTCGAGCATGCCTGTCCGAACACACGTGACACTCGGCGTGGCCGCCGCAGGCAGCTTCCGCGGGAACCCCGACGGCAGCGTCCGCACGTCGCGACGCCCATGTCGGCACGCCTCTTGCGAGGATCGCGCCCGCTTTCGGCTCTTCTTTTCCTTCCTCTTTGCCCGCGCACTCCAAAATCCAAGGCTGCGGGCGCAGCGCAGCGCGGAGTCCCCGCGACGCGCGCTGGTCGCCCCGGGCGGGGTCCCAGCGACGCGCGCGGGTCGTCCGCTGCGCGAAGCAGAGAGAGCTGACTAGCTAACTGGCTGGCTGATAGCGGGCAAGTCTCTGACCGCTGGGCAGAGCGACGACGGGCGAACGAGGCGCCGGGCCCCCCGCAGCACGGAGTTCCCGCGACGCGCGCTGGTCGCCCCGAGAGGGTCCCAGCGACGCGCGCGGGTCGTCCGCGGCGCGAGGCCAAACAATTAGTCGGGCAGTCGAGAGAAGGCGCGGCTCGGGGGAGACGCTCCTCAGGTCAGGCCTCGCGGATGAACTCGGTGAAGCCGAGCTCCCTGGCGAGGGCCGTCGCTTCCCTCCTGCACCGCTTCGTGCGCGCCGCAAACTGCTCCAGCTGCTTCCGCAAGCCCTGCGGCGGCCCTGCCAGGAAGAACTCGATGCGCGGCGCCCGCATGAGCAGGAGGTCCTCGTGGCGCGTGGCGCGCGAGAGCAGCACGTAGAGCTCCAGCCACCAGTCGTCGTCCTCCTTCTTGCCGTTCCCTACCTCGTGGCGGCCGCAATCCAGGATCACGCCTGGGCGACGTCGACCGAGGGAGCAGCGCGCCGGGCAGCCGACGGCCCAGGGCGAGAGTCCACAGGACCGAGAGATGGTCTGGCCGCGGACTGCTCGCGCCCCGGAGGTCTGGCCGCCCCCGGAGCGCCGTTCCCCCGCCCCGTCGCCTTCGCGCACGGTGCGCCCCTGGCACGCCACCGTGGTGATGACCCTGCCGTGCGAGAAATGCGGGGGGTGTGCCGAAATGGGTGGGGGTGACGCATGCGGGCGGCGGCACTGAGGCCTTCGGTGGAGCTCCCTATGGAGCCACGAAACGTGTGAGGGGTGTGCCGAAATGGGTGTGGGGGACGCATGCGGCCGCGGGCACTGGGGCCTTCGGTGGAGCTCCCTATGGAGCCACGAAACGTGTGAGGGGTGTGCCGAAATGGGTGTGGGGGACGCATGCGGCCGCGGGCACTGGGGCCTTCGGTGGAGCTCCCTATGGAGCCACGAAACGTGTGAGGGGTGTGCCGAAATGGGTGTGGGGGACGCATGCGGCCGCGGGCACTGGGGCCTTCGGTGGAGCTCCCTATGGAGCCACGAAACGTGTGAGGGGTGTGCCGAAATGGGTGTGGGGGACGCATGCGGCCGCGGGCACTGGGGCCTTCGGTGGAGCTCCCTATGGAGCCACGAAGCGTGTGAGGGGTGTGCCGAAATGACACCCCCAGTGGGACCTTCGGTGGAGCTCCCCATGGGGCCACGAAGCGTTGTCCTGGGTGGGGGAGACGCATGCGAACACCCCTACTGGGACCTTAGGTGGAGCTCCCTATGGGGCCACGAAACGCTGTCCTGGGTGGGGGAGACGCATGCGAACACCCCCACTTGGGCCTTCGGTGGAGCTCCCTATGGGGCCACGAAACGCTGTCCTGGGTGGGGGAGACGCATGCGAACACCCTTATTGGGACCTTCGGTGGAGCTCCCGATGGGGCCACGAAACGCTGTCCTGGGTGGGGGAGACGCATGCGAACACCCCTACTGGGACCTTCGGTGGAGCTCCCTATGGGGCCACGAAACGCTGTCCTGCGTGGGGGAGACGCATGCGAACACCCCTATTGGGACCTTCGGTGGAGCTCCCTACGGGGCCACGAAACAGTGTCCTGGGTGGGGGAGACGCATGCGAACACCCCCACTTGGGCCTTCGGTGGAGCTCCCTATGGGGCCACGAAACGCTGTCCTGGGTGGGGGAGACGCATGCGAACACCCCCAGTGGGACCTTCGGTGGAGCTCCCTATGGGGCCACGAAACGCTGTCCTGGGTGGGGGAGACGCATGCGAACACCCCTACTGGGACCTTCGGTGGAGCTCCCTATGTATGGGGCCACGAAACGCTGTCCTGCGTGGGGGAGACGCATGCGAACACCCCTGTTGGGACCTTCAGTGGAGCTCCCTATGGGGCCACGAAGCGCTGTCCTGGGTGGGGGAGACGCATGCGAACGCCCCCAGTGGGACCTTCGGTGGAGCTCCCTATGGGGCCACGAAACGTGTGAGGGGTGTGACGACATGGGCGGTGGGGACGATGATGAAGACGATGATGAGGATGAGGATGTGGATGAGGATGATGCTGCAGATGATCATTCTGACGGAAGAGAGAAGAGGAGGGGGAGGAGGGAGGAGGGGGAGGAGGAAGGAGGAGAGGAACGCGGGGCACCGTCTCTTCAAAACGAGGACCCAACACCACAGGATGGTTGGGAAAAAAACACCACGATCCCAAAATAATCCGGCAGAAAACTTCAGGAATCCTTCCGGAATCCTTCGGGAATCCTCGGGGGTTCTTCAAGAATCCACCTGTATCCTCAAAAATATGTTTTGAAAAATCCTTCGGCGATCTCCGGGAATCCTTCAGCAATTTTCCGGAATCCATGGGGAATCGTTCAGGACCCCTGGGGGATCCTTCAATAATCCTCAAGGAATCTCTCGACAGCGAAAGAAAATACGAGCAATCTGGAGGGAATTCGAAGAATGCTAAGGAATCCTCTTCAATCCACAGGAGGCCTGTAAAAATCCTCAGGGGTCCTGGAGAATCTTGAACAATCCGTAGGAATCCTCCAGAATCCGCAGGACGCCCTCGGGAATCCGATGGAATCCTTCAAAGATCCTTCAGGAATACTCTGGGAATCTTCGAATCCGAAGGAAACTCGCAGGAAACGGCAAAGGTCGTCAGGAGTCGTCAAGAATCCGCAGGGATTGTTCGGGAACCCGTGGGTATCCTCAAGAATCCTTCAGCAATCCTCAGGAATCATGCCGGGTGCCTCGGGAAACCTTCAGGAGCCCCAGCAATCAGGTGAATCTTATCAGTTTTCCGGGCGTGAGTGGTTTGGAGCAGTTCTTCTTCCAACATTCCTCCCCTTCGGGGAAGCGGTGTATCACTCTTCCTAATGAATGAACACCCCCTCCCCCAGGCGACCGGCAGCCAACGCGGACCAATGCGGGCCGCCCCCCCACAATCTCATGTTAAGAGCCACGCGTTAAAAACGCACTTTGCCATCACATCTGGGCATGCGCGGGCGCCCCGCGACCATTTTGCGCTGGCTTCTGGCAAGGATGGCGGGGGTGCCGGCATATTGATATCGATTGCTGGGCGCAGGCCAGCCACCCATGTCAACAAATAACACAACATGCAGATTGCCTCCAGGTCTGGAGCACGCGCGGGCGACCCCGCGAACGCTCTGCACTGAGTTTTGTTTCCCGGGGTGGTGGGGGGCACGAGCCACGATTCCTGCCTTTCGACTGCTTTGGTGTGGCGACGCACTGCGTCCAGCGAGCGCGTGCCCCTGCTTCTCCAGCTGCGCGCTGCTGGCGACATCCTCTCTGTACTCGTCGGGGGGGCGCTCTCTTCTCTTAGCTCTCGTGAGCTCCACGACTCCTCAAAATGTCTCCTGTTGACCATCGGTGCCGTTGCTTTGCGCTCCCTGGAGGAGCCGACCTTTTCACATAACGCTCGGCACTTCCCTCTAGGTGCAATCAAGATTCCGAACTCTTCGGGGCCAGGACCCCAGGCACCTGGGGTCCCTATTGGTTCCTCGTGGCTGGCGCACCTGGCGCGGCTGAAACACGTGGCACAGTTGGCGCACGTGGAGCACGTGCCGCACCTGGCACGCTTCGGCCTCCAGGGTGCCTGGTGCACCTGGAAACTGTGGCGCGCATGGCATGTGTGGCGCTCCTTAACAATATGCTGACACTCGGGTGTTACTGGTGTGTTGAAGGGCTGGTGGGAGTGAGCTAGACGGCTTGCTATCAAGGAGGGTCGCTTGACCCCTTCCTCTACCCCCTCCCTGGGTTCGGAGGGGGCGTTACGCGAGGGGTTGGAGCGTCCAAGATGGCCTCGGTGAGGAAGTACAAATATTCTCTCCCAGAGGACCACCGAGAGGGCCCCAAGAGGCGAACGTCGTCGCATGCTCATCCGAAAATGTTCATGTTTAGCATACTCACCTTTCTCGCCTTGACAGCATCCAAGGCGGCCCAAGGGGGCCCAAAGATCGTCCCAACAGGGCTTATGAGGCCTCCAAGGGGGCCCCAAGGCAGCCCAAGAGGGACCCAAGACGGCCGCATGGGGTCCCCCAAACGGCCCAAGAGAGCCCCAAGAGGGCCCTAAGCGGGGCCCAAGAAGGGCCTCCCCAAAAAAACCCAAGAGCCTTCCAAGAAGCCCCTGAGAGGCATCTCACGAGCCCCTCGAATACATCCAAGCTGCTCCTGACCCCCTGGTAAACTTCCAGGATCGTCGTAGGCACTCGCTCCTTCTGAGGGGTCGGCGGAATGGCGTAAGCCACTTGAACCATTGGTTGTGTTGCAAGATTGCGTCTCCCCCTAACCCCCTTCTGGAGCCGAGCCACATGGGCGATCCCAAACGTGGCGGACCCCTTTTAGGCACCGAAATCAACAACACCTTTTAGGCACCGAAATCAACAACACCATATGAAAAATCAGTGATGTGGCCCCTGGGGCCTCTTGGGGGTCCAAGAGTGCGTCAAGGCGGCTCAAGATGGCCTCGAGACGAGCCAAGGCGACCCCAAGACGGTCCAAGATGGCCTCCAAGAGGGCCGAACAAGCCCCCTAAGAAGGCCCAAGAGGGCCCAAAGAGGACCTCCGAGAGCGCCCCCAGAGGCCAAAGTTATTGCGTGCCCTTTGGCCTTTGACGGATCCTAGCGTTCTCACCTTTTTCGACTCCCAGGGGCCCATGATGACCCAAGCAGCCCCCAACATGGCCCCAACACGACCCAACATGGCGCCCCCAAGAGGGCCCCCAGACGGCCCAAGGGGGCCCCAAGGCGGCCCAAAGACGCCCACAAAACGGTCTTCGAGGCCCCCACGACGGCCCAAGGGGACCCCCAACGGGCCCTCAGGACGGCCTCCCGAGGGGCCAGACAGCGCAAGAGCGCATCAAGACGGCCCCAAGAGGCCCCAAAGCAGCCCCCAAGGCCCCCTGGGAGGCCCCGAAGAGGCTCCCACCAAGCCCCGCAACGACTGGATTGCACGTGCTCTGGACGTGCACCCCGCGAAGCGAGAGGAATCATTGGTTTTACCGCGGTTTGGGCAACATGTTGGCCTCCTGGGGCGGGGGGGCTCGAATTAGGAAGCTCCCCTCCTTTGATCGATCTCCTCCAGGATGGCCCATAGATATGGCACCCAAGGCTCCCAAGGGTGCCCCAAGAGGGCACCGAAAAGGTGCCCAGGAGGCCCCGAGAGGCCCCTAAGATGCCCCCAAGATGTCCCGAAGAGGCTCCCAAGGGACCCCCCCGAAGACACCCGAGACGCCACAAGAGGCCCCGAGGGGGCCCGAAGCCGGCCGAAGGCTGCCCGCCCTCGCGCGACCGATCCTCAGGAGGTCGAACTCGCCCCCGTGGTTGATGTCGAAGTGCTCGCCCTGCAGGTTGACCAGGTGCGGGTCGCCCCTGGCCTGCACCGTCGGGGAGGGCGTTGGCAGGGGGGACACGGGCGGGCCGACGCAGCAGCCGGCCGTCCCGAAGACCGCCCCGCTGGGCAGCTGCGTGAGGTTCCCGCCTGGCTGCCGAGATCCGTCGGTCAGGCGATCGCGATCTGGCCCCTGAGAACCCGCCATCGCTCGGGCGCTCCTTCCCCGTGCCTTTGTCGGCTTCGTGCCTGCCTTTGTCGCACGATGATCCAGGATTTTCCTCGAGGGCCCCCGCCAAGCAACATGCACACAGTCCGAGCGATGCCGAGATGAAGGGGGAAACGTGGATTGAGCAGGGACCGACCGTCCCGGCATTCCTATAGTCCTACCACGAAGTGTTCTGAGGGCCCTCAAAGGTTCGAAGAACAAAAACAATGCTCTTAGAACACAAACCCGATGTGCTAAAACAAGACAGGCTCCGCCAGAAATGCTCTAAGAACAGTTCGTGGAAAACACAAAAGCTTCTCAGAACATTGCTTGGTAGGGCTATAGGCAAGCCAAGACGCTTCGCCACTGCTTGAGTGGTGGTGTGGGGGGGGACCTCGACCCGAAAGAGCGGCGATGCCTCGCCGGCAGGTCGGCGGCAGGCCCCCAGCAGGCGAAGCCGCTCCCCCTCCTCCTCCTCCTCCTCCTCCTCCTCCTCCTCCTCCTCCTCCTCCTCCTCCTCCTCCTCCTCCTCCTCTCCTCCTCCTCCTCCTCCTCCTCCTCCTCCTCCTCCTCCTCTCTCCTCCTCCCTCCTACTCCTCCTCCCCCTCTTCCTCCTCCTCCTCCTCACTCCTCGTCTCCTCCCTCCTCCTCCTCGTCCTCGTCCTCCTCCTCCTCCCTCCTCCTCCTATCGTCCTCCTCCTCCTCCTCCTCCTCCTCCTCCTCACTCCTCCTCCTCCTCCTCCTCCTCCTCCTCTCCTCCTCCTCCTCCTCCTCCTGCTCCTCCTGCTCCTCTCTCCTCCTCCTCCTCCTCCTCTCTCCTCCTCCTCCCCCTCTCCCCTCCTCCTCCTCCTCCTCCTCCTCCTCCTCCTCCTCCTCCTCCTCCTCTCCTCCTCCTCCTCCCCTCCTCCTCCCCTCCCCCTCCTCCCCCTCCTCCTCCTCCCCCTCCCCCTCCTGCTCCTCCTGCTCCTCCTGCTGCCCTCCTCCTCTTCCTCCTCCTCTCCTCCTCCTCCTCCTCCTCCTCCTCTGGGGCTCGATGTGCGCTCCCCCCGCGAGGCCCCTCCGAGAGCGCCGCCGCGGCTGGCGGGGGAGGCCAGGGGCTGCCAGCGTCGAGGGGCCTCGGCGTGCCCACGCACGAGGGCCCTTCGGCTCAGCGCCTCCTCCTCCTCCTCCTCCTCCTCCTCCCTCCTCCTCCTCCTCCTCCTCCTCCTCCTCCTCCTCCCTCCTCCTCCTCCCTCCTCCTCCTCCCTCCTCCTCAGTCTGAAGGGGTGCCGAATCCACTGCCTGCGGCTGGTTCCGGCTCCGCCGCCGAGGCCCCACGGCTGCGCCGTGGTGATCGTCTGAACTGAACAGAAGAAGAACGCACGCACGCACGCACGCACGCATGCACGCGCGCGCGCACGCGCACGCACGCGCGCGCGCACGCACGCACGCACGCACGCACACGCGCACGCGCACGCGCACGCGCACGCGCACGCGCACGCGCACGCGCACGCACGCACGCACACGCACGCACGCACACGCACACGCACGCACACGCACACCCCCACACACACACACTCACACACTCACAAACTCACACACTCACACACACACACACACACGCACGCACGCACGCAGGCACGCGCACGCGCACGCACACTCGCACACGCGCACACTCGCACACTCGCACACTCGCACACTCGCACACCCGCACACTCGCACACTCGCACACTCGCACACTCGCACACGCACACTCACACACGCACACTCGCACACTCGCACACTCACACACGCACACACGCACACACGCGCACACACACACATAAACATAAAACTTTTGGCGCTCCGCGCGGATTTCTTGGATCCGCGCTGGACCCCCCTCCCTGGCACGCGGAGCGCGCCAGGGGCGGCGCCGGAGGCGCCGCCGGGGGGGCCCAGCGCGGGTCTAAGAAATCCGCGTGGAGCGCCAAAAGTTTACGTTTATGTGCATTTTTCTTCTTCGACTGAAAGATATCAAAGCGAAAGCCACCGCAATCTTGGTCACACTTCTCGCCCGAGACGCACTGGAAAGACCCGCACCCGCACGGGTAGCTGGTGCTGAGGTCGACGCCGTTGACCCCAGTGCAGGCAGACATCATGGCGTCGTACTTCCTGAACACGCCGTTCGTGCCGTGGTCGAGCCCGAAGAACGGGCCCCTCTTCCTGAGCAAGGCCTCCTTGGAGGGGCCCGACACACACACACACACACAAAACAAGAAAAAGACACCCAAATCCCAGGATTATTTGTATATATATATATATATAGATTATTGTTTTTTTTTCTTCCCCCCCCACTTCCCATATTTTCCCATATTTCCTGGGGATCGACGATTACTTGTGTCTGTGTATTGTTTCCCCTCCTGACTCCTGGCGTTCCGTCCGCCGTTCGTCATCGCCGAAGCCGACCTTCTCTGTGATGACGAACCGCTCGAAGTAGCCAGGATTGCGCGACGAGATCGTGATCCCGTCGCCGACCATCAACACGACGCCAGCCTCGTCCGTGTCCTTGCTGATAGGCACCTCGCTGAAAGGGGCCCAGAGGCGCACGGACCAACAGACACACATCCCAGAATTCCCCCCATCTTTCCCCATGCTTTCGGGACATCCTCGTCTCCCATTCCGCTCCCCGCGTTTTCCCATATTTTAGTCTGGGGAGTTGCGGATTCTTGGTGCCTGTGCAAATCTTTGCTCCCTCGCCAGCTGCCGCTGCGACCACGCCCTCTGGAGGAGGAGGGGGACGAGGAGGAGGAGGAGGAGGAGGAGCAGGAGGAGCAGGAGGAGGAGGAGGAGGAACAGGACAAGGAGGAGGAGGAGGAGGAGGAGGAGCAGGAGGAGGAGGAAACAGGAGGAGGAGGAGGAGGAGGAGGAGGAGGGGGACGAGGAGGAGGAGAAGGAGGAGGAGGAGCAGGAGGAGGGGAGGAGGAGGAGGAGGAACAGGACGAGGAGGAGGAGGAGGAGGAGGAGGAGCAGGAGGAGGAGGAGGAGGAGGAACAGGAGGAACAGGAGGAGGAGAAGGAGGAGGAGAAGGAGGAGGAGGAGGAGGAGGACCCGGGGCGCGCCGCGACCAGGGCCCCGGGAGGGCGAGCGCCGCCGTGGCCGTCCACGAGGGACGAGCCGCGGCCCTGTCAGCGGCACACAGCGGGGGCCAGCCCACAAGAATGCCTGCCGAGATCCGTCGGTCAGGCGATCTCGATCTGGCTCCTGAGAACCCGCCCTCGCTCGGGCGTTCATTCCCCGTGCCTTTGTCGGCTTCGTGCCTGCCTTTGTCGCACGATGATCCAGGATGCTCCTCGAGGGTCCCCGCCGAGCAACATGCACACAGTCCGAGCGATGCCGAGATGAAGGGGGAAACGTGGATTGAGCAGGGACCGACCGTCCCGGCATTCCTATAGTCCTACCGCGAAATGTTAGTAGACCCCAAATATGTTCCAGTAACAACAACTTGGAACCTACGCCCGAGGTGATAAAACAAGGCAGGCTCCGCCAGAAATGTTCTAAGAACATCGCGTGGAGACCATAATAGGTTCTTCGAACATTGTTTGGTGGGGCTATAGGCAAGCCAGGACGCTTCGCCACTGCTTGAAGCCCTGGGACATACAAATAAGTAGACACAAAAATCTGGATTCCCGATATCTTCCCATGTGTTTTCAGGGCTTTCGTCTTCCCCCACAAACTTCCTATATCTTTGTTTATTATATTGTATGGCGAATCGAAGATTCGTTGTGTCTGTATTCTTTCCCCCTGACAGAAGCCTTCCACAAGAAAGCCAACCCCTGAGACCCCAGGACGTCCATTGATGTTCTGGTGTGGGCACGCCACGCTCTCCACAGCAAAGCCGTCGAAACCCACAAAACCCAGGGCACCCTGGAGGCAACCAGGGTGCCTCTTGGCACGGGCCTCCACTGTGCATTCCGTGCCGGCCCCCGACCTCTTGAGCGCCGATCTCCAGCGGCTCGGTGAGGTAGGCCCCCCCGATGCAATTGTCGAACTCGCCGGCGTCGAACTTGCCCTCGGGGCACCCCGTGCAGCTCTCCGAGCGGCGGCGCCGGGTCTCGCCCGTGGTGCACTCCGCGCACACGCTCGTGCCCTCTCGGGGTGCGCCGAAGAGGGGGGGGGCCAGGAACCGGCAGCACCGCACACGCACGCGCACACACTCACGCACACGCACACGCACACGCACACGCACACGCACACGCACACGCACACGCACACGCACACGCACACGCGCGCACGCACACGCACACACGCACACACGCACACACGCACACACGCACACTCGCACGCGCACACACGGGCACGCGCGGGCAGCCCGTAGAGCAGAGCGCCAGCCCGCGGGGCTCGCGGGCGAGTGCGACCCACGCAGAGGGTCCACCCCGCACACGTCGGCAGAGGCGGCACAAAAGGAGTTGGGCGCCCGAATTGTCCGGGGTAGCTCGGGCCCGGAGCAAGTCGGGTTCGGATTCCCGAGACACGAGCCCGAGTTGGCCCTGACCCGAATTACCCCGGATGACTCGGGGCTCTGGGCGCCAAAATCATCCGGGGTAGTTCGGGCCCGGGGCAACTCGGGCTCGGGTTCCCGAGGAACGAGCCCGAGAAACACGCGCGACGTCGGAGGGGGGGGGGGGGGGGGAGGAGGAGGAGGAGGAGGAAGAGGGAGGGGAGGAGGAGGAGGAGGAGAAGGAGGAGGAGGAGGAGGAGGAGGAGGAGGAGGAGGAGGAGGAGGGAGGAGGAGGAGAGGAGGAGGATTTTTTTTTTTCCCCCTGGGGCTTCAACCACCTTCACTGTCCCGCATTGGGGCTTGCATCCAGGCTGCACATGGCGCTTGCAGCCTGCAACAAGAAAAGGCGCCTGCAGTCACCCACAAACAGTTGGGTGAAAGGAGGCGACGAGGCGATGGCAGTCTCGAATCCCTGAAGGATTTTTTGTTCCATCCAGCCAGAGGCAGAGTTGAACTCTCCGCGCCGTGCGCGGGGCCGGGGAGCAACGGTGCGAGGGTCACTAACGGCGCACCGCCGGGCAGTCCCCACTCGCACCACGCCCCCCGCTGGGTAGACAAACCCACCCCCTGAAGGATTGAGAACACGATGCCAAAAGCCTGTCTGGACAAAAGTGAGATCTGTGCAACACCTTCGACCAGAACAAAACAAAATAGAGAGCGGCAATTAATCTGAGTCGTCCTGGTCAGCTTTAGGAATTTGAGCTGAGGACGACGGAGCGGCGCCAGCCGCGATGCAAAGACGACGAACCCTGGCCTGGAACTCGCGTGCCTTCTCTTCCTCCCTCGAAAGACCTGCCACCTCGCTCTGCGGGTGCAAGGGGCTAGGGGCAGCTGGCGGAAGAGGAGGAGGGGGCACGGGTTCACTCACAGCCTCGGGCAAACCGTCCTGAAACAGATTAGAGCCGTCACGAAGATTCACTCCCAACTGCACCACCACCCCCTTCCTCTTAGGGTGACGGCTCTTGCAGATCTGCTGCCACGCCCAGACTCCGAACTTGCTGGGAGGGGGGTCGCAGCGAGCAGCCAGCCCACGAAGAGTGCCGTGGGAGGAGTAACACTTGCACTTCATACAGATCACAAGCTCAGACCCGTCGCTACACGGGAACATAACACACTTGTGCTGAAGGGCGGTGAGCTTGTCGGCACTGCAGGCTTTTAAACCGGAACAACGACCAGGAATGGGCTTCGAACCGTCCCGAGGCCGACGAATCTGGAAACACCTAGAGCAGCGCCAAAAACCTTCAAACCTAAACCACTTGTGAACGTCGCCTGAAGCAGCTCTAGGCACGCTCACACCAGGGAGGTAGGGCACATCTTTGATCGAGCTGAGAGCAGCAAACTCTGGCAGCAACTTAGCCGCGAGCTTGCAGGCTGCCCTAGCAAACTTCACACTCTCATTTGCTTCTTCCAGCACATTAGAATCTGAGGGATGGAACGCAAGGGCCTCCTTAGCCCCTAGGTCGGCCAAGTGGTTCCCTAGACGATCGGCTTCCTCCTGAGCAGAGATGCCTTCCTCAGACAAAGACTGGTGAGCCTTAATTTTGAGCACTTCACGAATGTGACGACGCTCGGGCCTAGATAACAGCTGAACAAAGACACCAGAGTACAAACGTTTGAAAAAAGTTTGAGCAACTCTTGGAAGCTCATGCTGGGTAACCACGTTGGCACAATCAGTGATGATCGTGCTGGGGCCAGTGAGACTCATGACCGCTCCCCAGTATCCCGAAAACTCTCCAGCTTGAGGGGTCTGGGGGAGCGGGGCCCACACAGGGCATCTCATAGTACACAGCAGCTCATCTTCGTCAGAAAACAAAACAGCACACCAGGACGCACGGTTCAGCTCTTTTATAACGTGCCGAGAGCAAGAACCGTCAACAAAAACTTTCCCCTGGAAGCTAAAAACATTGTCAGAAGGCGGGTCCCCACGCCACGAGACGTCCCAGGAACCCTCTTCGAGCGGGGGGGGGTGTTCGTCACCAGGATGAGCCAGGATGCCTCGGGTAACCAGAGTCAAACGATGTCTTCCCTGCGAAACGAAGTCCGTCACCCCGTCGACGATATCATCCCCCACAGCTTCACGACGTTTGGCGTCCAAACAGGGACAAACCCATAACCTGTGGTACATAGTGTCACGAGCCTTCCCACACAACTCACAAAACTCTGGGAACTCGTACCCTTTGGACCTGGCGTAGATGCGGGTCCACACCGCACCCGTGCTCCAGGCACGGATAATGCCCTTTTCCAGCGGAGAAAAACGTTGGGCCGCTAGAGCTTCATGGACGACATCGAGGCAGCCTCGACCAGGGAGAGAAAGCTTGCCTCCAATCATCCACTCCAGCTGTCTGAAGACCGCCTCCATCGCGAGACGGCGCACGAGAGCAGGCGACAGGCACAGCAACGGCAGCTCCACGCCGCGATCGTCGATCAGCGTGGCGAAGTTGGGCATCTGCCAACTGATCCTCTCGAGACTTTTCCTCATGGCTGAGATAGGACCTGAAACAGATCTCCAAGACTTGGATTCCAAACCAAAAACAGACCCCCACACCACACGCATTTCAGCAAAACTCAAAACCGAGGGGTGAGAGGACAGATGGGCGTGCCAGAGTTCCTTATGCCACCTACAAATCGGAGCAATCTGAACCGCCCAGGTGGGGTCCTTTTCCAGATGCAGAAGAATCGAAAGCGAGCGGTCACCCGCACTCGGCTTGATAGTGCTGGCAAAGGACCGTCTTAAAGCCAAAAGTTCCCCGTCGGAAATCCCCGAGATTTCCGCGCCGTAAGTGGCAGCAGGAAGGACCCCAGAGCACCAAACCCTTCGAGCCTTGCGTCCAACCGTGCGAGCGAGTCTCCCCACGCGCCTACCCCGACGAGAAGCCTTGATACGACGGGCTTTGGCTTTAGCATTACGACCTTGCTGCCGAACAGGGCGACCAACCGTGTCGTCAACGCCTAAATTCGGGGCCGAGGAAACCAAGGGCCCCGCGAGGGCCACCCCGATGGCCTCCTGGACCTTACAACCAAGTTTTTGTGTCGGACGAAATTAGAGCCCCTTTGTCCTCGGCCAGGGTGGCGCCGATCCCCTCAGAGATGGCGACGACCAACTGCGAACTGGCGGAGACCAGCCCTTCGAGCACCTCGACCTCCGAACCAATGGCGTGAACTGCGTTGTCGTCAATATAAAGAGCGTACGTAGTACAAATGGGCCATTCGATCTGGTCGAGAGCTTCCAGGCTGTTGACTCGAATAAGCGTCGTTGCAAAAGAGCAGCCGGCCACGATGCCGAAGCTGGCGAAACTGGCGTCCGTCATGAAACCACCTAACACGATGTGCCGCGCACATCTGTATGCTGAACAGCAGAGACGTGCCACCGCAGCGGGAAAGCCCAAACGCAGACACCTGCCCAGCATACGGTCGAGATCAGTGCTTTCATAATATTTCTGAAAATCCCACAACAGAGTGACGGCAAAGAGGCCATCGGCCACCCCCCCTTCACTCCGCGCAGCTTGTCGCCACACCGTGTCAGCAGCTCCCATAAAGCGTCCCGCGGCAAACCAAGGCCTATAGTTGGCCTCCTCCCAGGCCAGGCCAAGCGGCCTCCGAATTTTAGCCCAGGCCCGATAAAGGCCTCCGAACAAACCAATGGGCCTGAGACCAGGAAGAGCTTTGGGGATCAGATGAAGGATGACAACCCGAATGTGAGAAGGGAGAAAAGAGGAAATCTCCATCATCTGCAAAATGAGCGCCAGGCACTGCAAACTGGCTTCGGACAGCCAGGCAAAATGGCGGATATGGAAGCCGTCGGTCGAGACGGCCGAGAAAACTTTGTGCCTCCCACAGACACTCCTTATCTCATCAGGGCTGATGGGAGGGAGATCAGGGGCAGGGTCGAAGGTGGCGGGGGGGGTCGGAGCCGACACCTGGGCCCTCCAGAGGGCCTTGAACCTGCTTTCCTCACGCTGAAGAAGGTTGTGGGGGTCGCTAACAACGCGGTCTCCATCAATGAGGGTGGTGGTGGGCACAAAGGATATAGGATCACGAGTGACCAGGTGGGCCCGCTTGGCCCCTTTGTTAAACCCTTCCAAAACCCACTGCCTCCAGGACGTCTGGGAGGCCGAGCGAGTTTCATGGATGGTCTGGTCCAGGACACCACGGATACGATCTTTTAAAACTAGCGCCACCTCCATGTCCACCGTGCTCGGGGACGACTCGGCCTCCGCAGCGAAGGATTGAACGTCGCTGAGCAGCAGGCCGTGCTCCCCCAGAGCACTCGAAATAGACGCCGAGGGCTGGAGGAGAGGTTGAGTGGCCGCCTCAAGCGGCGCTCCCTGGCTGAGCATACCGACAAGCACCTGAAAACGCTGCCAAAGCCATCTAGTGGCGAAAAGGGACGGGTTGCGAGGGTTGCGAACATCCTGATCCATAACCGAACGCCAAACCAATTTGGGGGGCTGGCCTCGAAGGCCCATCCTCGGGAGGTCGACCCCAGCGGCACGAGTGAGTTCGACTTCGGCCGCATCAGCCCATTCCCCATAACACTGGTCTAAAATCTCCTGAGTGCGCAACCCATCGCCAGATCGAGCAGTGACGAC